GTGGTGTAGTAGTCAGCGTCTGGGGAATCTACCGAGGGTTCGAACCCGCTCACGATTTTTATTTTTTGCTTTTTTGTCCGAAGCTTCCTCATTGCATTCTGAAGGCCGTGAATAACTTTTTGTACATTATTTATACACCAAGAAACGTTCCTAGCGATAATACAGCTTCGGGCAACGAAACGATAGACTAGTTGACTGTTTCCGGTGCGTTCCAAATGACCTTTCCAACCCTGCTGTAGGGGGACACAAATCCTGTAATCCGCGTTTGGAGCATGAGGTGTGGCTCAGGCCGAGGGGTCCGGCTCGAAAATCAGGTCGGCTGACTGACAGTCTTTTGGGAGGGAGCAACTCTTCAAAATGTCCTCATCCCCTCGTCCCTTTGGTAGCACGTACAATAGAACACACTGTCCGTCCCCGGGATTGTTCTCGAGTGGCTACACGCTAAATTCCCGCAGGGCATTTAAAGGATACCACGAGAATCCCGCTTGAAATCTAGGGACTTGCTAAAAAATGATAATCGAAAAGGTAAGAAAGGAAAGGAAATCAGAAAAAAAAACGAAAAATAAATGTGTTGCAGAAAAATTTCTAGGCCTTTTAAGAATATGTGTTCCAAAATTTTTGGGTGTTAACTAACTCCAACCACCACGTGCTTACTCGTTTATCGTAGGTTGTAATAAAAATTGCCTATAACCCCAGATAAATATGTGAGTGAATTAGCAATTGGCAGCTTATTTTATCTCTTCCAAAAGAAATAGGTAACAATACTTCATCAAGCGTTTGCATCAAGATGTTTATCATGTTTTATAGGTTCAGGTAAGTGATGTGACGCAATTCGCCAAAATAGCGTGTCCAATACAGTCCCTCGGGCTGTCGGAAGCAAAGTATTTTAGATACCTTGAATAGTTTATTTCAAAGACAAGACCCTGCGGTCCGATAAGATATGTTTCAAGTTTTTAGGCATTAACTGACGAATATTACTAAATAATTACCAGCACCTAGGACATCTCGATATTTTAGAGATTTTTCCATTTTATCACGAAACTCACAGAATATGGCACGATTCTTGACTGTTAATGGGGGGCTTTTTAGCAAAATATAAACCATTTTCTGCAGTCATAGATAGAAAAAAAGATAAAATTGTATGAAAAATGACCAAAAAGGTAAAAAAATCTGGAATTTTCAAAATTTAAAGATTTTTTATAACCTTCCAGCAATCAAAAACTACTTAAAACACCGGAAAAATGCAGCAATTTACTTAAATAATTGACTGATACTCTACGTTAAATACCCCTTTATTCAACCTTGGACAAATCATCAAGGTAATTGGCCAACGGAAGTGTCCAATTTCTCTTCAAACAAATGTCGTGGATAAACGAGTACTCGGCCAGTCCATGCAGCAGACCGTCGATATAGTCATCGCAAAATTACTGATTTTTTGAATCCTAATGGCATTACATTTTATTGATGCACGTTTTTTTCAATATTTGAATTATACGTTAGCGCACGCTTCAAACGATTTCATTATCCTTTAATTTGCAATTTTTTTTATTTTTAGATTAAAAGGTATATTTGAAGTTGTCTGACGTATATTTTGGCTCTTTAAGATTCCATTAAATTTCATAGTTTCATAAATTCCTCATAAAAAAACTTCATGGAGATGGCCAATCGGCCCATGCAGTTATGGCTCATTTTTGTGTGCTATTAGGCTTTCTGATTACATGCGATCGTTGCGGAAGTGTTGCGGAACCTAAATTGTTGCGGAAGTGAATCGCGCTGCCCTGCAAGTGGGCGAAACATTGTTTTTGCGAAGATGCAGGTAGGTATGGCAAAGGCAGTATTCAGTTTTCTATTCATACCAGGATATAAAATGAGAGTAAAAAAATTACACCAAAAGCAATTTAGCTAAGTTTTGATACCCTTACAGCGACGTTCTCGGTTTTGCATAGTTTGTTTTGATTTTTACTCCTTTACCAGGGTTGAAAAGCCGCTTCGCGACTTTTCAACCCTGGCCCCGTCCAACCCCATAATATTCTTCACTCTGCATACGTCTCTCGAATTCTCTGCATTGAAAAAATAAAAAACACCCCTCTCTCGCATTATATATAGACAACCGCCACTATACATGGGTCGACGCTTGCATGCGCCGCATAAGCGTGACCGGCCACGCTCTTCCGGAGCGTGGAGAGCCACGCTGGCGCGCGTGCCTCTTAATAAACCACGCCGAAATGAGCGTGGCCCGCCACGCTCCGGAAACGCTTATGCAAAGTTTCTAAAAATGCAAAATAAAAGTTTTCCAAGGGACATGAAAGCAAAAATCGATCCGTTTTCGAGAATTTAACTAACAAGAAGTTGAAACACGATCTATCTTGTTTATTTATCAAAATTTAAAGATGACCCTGATAGTTATGTATCGACAATTCATTTTTGCAAATCGAAATCATAAATATATGTCCTTTAAATTTTTGATTTGCATCTGGAGTTAAATCGCGCGCGCGAAAAAAGCGCGCATAAAGCGCCGCATAAGCGTGGTCCTCCACGCTCCGGAAGAGCGTGGCCAGCCACGCTTATGCGGCGCATGCAAGCGTCGACCCATGTATAACCGCCACTTCCGGAGTATGCTAATTTTTCCTAACAAACAGAGCGGCAGATTTCTGAACAAAAACTTAATTTTAATGTCGCAGATAGCATAATTTGCAACATTTGAAATGCGTGCACTCATCCCAGAGCCGTTACGCACCTAATGACGTCTCATACGTGGCCTAAGACCCTTCCCCTTTTGAGATATCCTCCGGACATGGCTAATACTTGACGATATGTGAGGAAGAGGAAGGGAAGAGGAGCACGTGTAGATGAGCACGAGCAGTGGAACAGGTAAAAGGGGCCGGTAAGTTCGGGGCTGTGGATCGAAAGGGTAGGGTGGGGAAACGGGAGTAGGAGTACTCCGGAGAGGTAGGGAGAAAGAGAGAGAGAGAGAGAGAGAGAGAGAGAGAGAGAGAGCGAGAGGGAGAGAGAGCGAGAGAGCGAGAGAGAGAGAGCGAGAGTGGGAGCGAGAGAGAGTGAGAGAGAGAAAGATCGGTCCGGAACTATAGCCAAAAATTTTAACTAATAATTTTAACTAAAATTCAATTGGTTAGCCACTTACCAACAGGGATCCCGATTAATGCTTGTGTCACATGCGTCTCTTATATAATTTTTTGAAACACATTCAATTTTGAAAATTATTCAGGTAGTGTAAAAATGTTTCTTTTCTGCAATTATCCGAGCAAAAAAGAGCTGCTTTAATGGAGTTGAGTTTCTCAGGTGTATTTCTCCCGGATTTGTAATGGGCTGCCGACGGCATGTGTCGACCCCCCCCCCCCTCATCAACAAATTGGCAAGTAGCCAACGGGGGAGAGGCGCAGAGACATTTTCTTTCCAGCGCGTAACCGATTGACTATGCCATCGGCTTCCCTCTAACGGCGTTTCATTCCCGACCGGACCCACATGTTCCGCTTTTTCTCTAGTTATTCCTATCAATTCGTATCGAATATCATTATTTTATTTCCAAGCTAACGGCCCTAGAAACTTTACGAAACACATTTTTTTTCTTTGCATCATGCTGGTTCGATTAAAAATTTTTTATTTCTGCGCAAGCTCCAAGCTATAGGACAACTATTAATGAGATTTGAGCTTTTTTTTTCTTTAATGACTTTCAAATCAATAAAAATATACTTTTTCTGCCCACTTGAACAATCAAAACGGAGCTCTGCCGAGCGTCTGCAACAAGCCGGCCACCCGCAACGCACGCCCGTGAATTTTCTCTCTCTCTCTCTCTCACTCTCTCTCTCTCTCTCCCCCCCCCCCCCCCACCCCCACAGCTCCCCCCTCCTCCCCTCTCCCCCCTCACTCTCTCTCTAGCTCACGCTCTCTCCCTAGACTTCGCCTTATTTCCGTTTCAGCAAAAATCGTTTTGTCGAAATGTTCTCAAGATTTGGGATGAATAATTGAGGCAAAAAGACATTGAAATTTCGTCAAAAATAAACTTCAACAAAATGATATTTCGACAAGAATTATTTTCGATGAAGTGAATTTCCTTTTTACACCTTTTTACTTTTCTAAGGCCCGCAGTTGCTCATAAAACCGGAAAAATCGCCTGACAAATTTGTGTCTGCTCGATCAGCAGCGGCAGTACGTCAAACTCGACGCCTAAAAGTCTATTGGAAAAGGCAAGCGGCTTTATATATCTTTTCAGCATATTCAGAACTAGCAATCATCCAGTAATACTGGTGTATGAAGGGACGGCACACGAAATTTTTTTGAAACACCTAAATTTCAAAAAAATCACCCTCAATGTCGATTTTCAGGATCCATACAACCGCATCTCGGCATCAATGCACAGTTTTTCGCTCGATGGGCCGTTTTCGGTCCCGACCAACCTGCGCTTGAACGTCGCGCCAATGTCTGAAAAACCGGCCAAAAGTTTTGGAGAACGGGGGCGTTGTTAAAAAAATGTGTTTCGGCCGTGTGCCGAAAAGATAATTTGTGCGAAAATTAGTTATTAGATAATCGATGTTAAAAGCTAGGCCTAAGCATACGCCACTCGAACGGCCCCAAGTATGACTTGTCACAGTTTTTTTTGACCCCGTTTTTGATGCCACGAAAAGAATGGTCGAATTAGTAGGGTGGCCCTATTTCGAGATTTTAAAAAGTTCATTTTTCTAGTTAAATTTGGCTTTAAAGTTTCGTACCTCAAAAAATTATTTCGAGAAACTACCGGGCCGAATAAGCTGAATTTTTGTGACAATACCTAATTTGGGGCGGCGATCATTTCTCTAATTCCCGCTTTATTGAACACAACATAACAAACAACGGATCAAATCCACCGAGTTGAAAGATGATTGCTTATTATACATCTCAAAATTTTAATGATGGAATGGATGCGGGACGAAATAACAAAATAACAACCGATTGCAAAGAGCAAAAAATGAAAATGTATGGCAAGCTTTTGGTGACGTCTTCTAGGTTGGCGGGTGGCCTGGAAAAAGAAAGTTAATAGGTAGACCAGACGCTGCAGACATTTTTAATTGAAGCAGACCCTTGAAAAATTGGCTGCTAAAAAAATTCCCCTACGATACTACGAAAGAACCAACGAAATCTGCCCACTCCCGGTCAAAAGCTGACTAGAAAATGTTTCAAAAATCAAAAACTATATTTTCAAAAGGAGCCTGCTAATTTCTAGTCCGTTTCTACTCGGCTTTATTTAGAAAACGCTCACCAAAAAGTGCCATCAGCGCATCGATCCGGGCCGGCTCGTCATCAACCGTGGACTCCTGAAAATAACAAGTTTTACCAAAGTCATTGTCAATTACCATATTCTTTTATATAATACAGCTAACGGTAAAATCTACTGCCCTATATGCAATTAACACAAATAAATCGCTTACAAATTCCGGCGGGGCGCCGTCACCATCGTTCGACGAGCCGGCAGCAGCGACAAGGTCACCTGAAAAAAATTAAAATCTTTTTCAAAAAGAATTTTCTTGAGGCTTAATTTCTTAAAAGTGGCTAATAGGTCAAAGTAATTTAATTGTAAACAACATAGAACCACGAAAGGAAGGACATTGTGGCTATTTAAAGTGAGAAACCCCGTTTTCCATTCGAAACTTTAACACGGATTTCTAAAATTTGCTAGATTAAAAAGAAAATAAGCCTCAATAAAGTAATAAATCAAGATAAAACAAACCAAAAATCTCGGTCAGCCGGCCCTTTTTGGGGGAAGGGGCCTGCGGCGAGGCGGCAGGTTCGGCAGGTTCAGCCGACTTCTGAAATTGCAAATTAAGAAAAATCAAAAAATTAAGAAATCTTTTTGCAACGAAGTGTTTTCAAAAGGCTACAATAAATCAACGATGCAGAAAGACAAATAAAAACAACAAACCTCCTGAACGTCTTCGGGTTGCTCGACAGGTTTCTCTTGGTCCCGCTCTTCTTCTCTGTGCTGCTTCCTCCCCCGTCCTCGACTCGTTGACGGTTTCGGGGAAATGTCTCAAAATAACGTCATTAAAATAATTAAAATTTCAGTACCTCCGAGGCCAAACTCTCTGTAGAACGCTTGTAGTGCATTGTCGTTGCGTGGGCGCTGGGAGCGGCGGCGTTTCACGGGTGAGGCAGAGTCCTGAAAAAATAAGGTGTTTCGGGTTTTAGCTAGACTATGGAAATAATTAATGCGTGGCACATCTCCTCATCCAAAAATTTCCTGAAGAATGCATGCAAGCCTGCCTTCGATTTAGAACAAATTCCTAAAGAGTCCTCGCTAGTTTTTATTGATCTTGAACAAAAATCCCAAAGAACCTCCGCTAGCCTGCCTCGAATTTTCGAGGATCGTAATGGCACGTGTTTGGGTTTAGCATCAAATACCTGAAAAATCCCTGCCAGTGGCCTTGATTTTTGAACAAATTCCTAAAGTCTCCCGGCTCGTGGTGTTGATTTTTTTAAAAATTGCGTAAATAGCCAATGAATTTCGAACCAAATTCCGAAAGAATATTTGCTATCCAACCGCGGTTTTTGGCCAAATTGCTAAAAGATCCTTGCCAGCCTGCCCTGAATAGCAATAAATTCGGAAACTTCTAAAGTTTTTGAATTAACCGCAATAAACAACGACGCTGTTTTTCCATACCTCAGTCTTTTGAGCCGTTTTGTCCGCGAGCGTCTTGTCCGAAGCCTTGTACGGCCGGTCCGCCTTGGCCTTGATCGGGCCGAACTCGCGCAGCTTGCTCTTCACGAACTCGATGCGCGTCTCCAGCTCGTCGACCTGCAGCGGGAAGTTTGTGCGCGCCATGTTGATCAGGTCGGTGAAGTACTCTTCAGTCCTAAAAAATAGATATTAGAAGGTGTCGCAAAGTTACAGCTTTGAAAAAAGCGATTTTCAGTGTTCAAGCGTTTTTAAAGTTGATTAAACTTTACAAATTTGCTCGACCGACAGAAATCTAGCAGTTGCGTTTTAATACCAGAAAACATATCAGTAAAAACCCCAGAAAAGCTAGCAAAAAGCGTCGATTTTACGAACACTCATTAAAAACTACCTCCCGTCAATGACCTCCTCGGCGTGGCCGTGCATGCGGACCTGATGCTTCCGAATCTCGTCCTTTGCCCGATTGTCGACATTACACTCTAAAATTATGAAAATTAATTGAGTTTTAAACAGAAATCAAACGCCAGATGATAATAAATTAACTCACGAGGACATCTGAAGGGCCGATGGTCGATATGCGTCATCGAGTGCTGCATGATGCAAATGGTGTTGATGCACGGGTCCTTCTGGAGCGTTATCTTCTTGCCGCATAGCTGGAAAAAAACTCATAAAAATTGAGTATTTTTAATGGAAAAACAAGAATCTAGTCTGCTCGTATTTCCTTCTGTCTAGAAATAAAAATTTTGAGCTTTTTAATGGCAATGTGTGCGTCAAATGCAGAAATACATTGGCGTATAGTTCGTAGTAACGATTGAAAACAGGAAATTCACAAAGATCAAAATGTTTCAAAAATCTGGAGAGACATCGAAGATCCTGCCAATTTTAGGAAACCCAAATTGCAAAAAAACTATACTCGCAAAGTTTCCTAAAAATGAGACTACGGTAATTCCTTTTTATGAAGAAAGACGCGTCTACGTCTTTCAGCCTCTAGTATACGGTTTAAATCGACCATAGAAAACGCAGGCCCTTCAGCGTCGGTGAATTTTTGAAATTTTAAAATCGAAAAAATAAAAGAAGAAAAACTTCAAATTTGAAAAGATGTTTCAAAGATTCGGAGAGTCAGTGGAGATTTTACCATAATAATTTGTCTTCGGACCTATAGCGAGAGCGAACGGGAAAGAGAGAGAGAGAGAGAGAGATCCCTCACCTGACATTGATTCTTCTCCACCTCGCGCTCCTCGTCCAAATGAATCGACAGCCCGTCGTTGAACCGCGCCATCTGGGCGTCCATATACTTCTCGACCTCGTGCATTTGCAGCGGGAAATTCCTCATTGCCTGCAGCTTCAGCTTGGCAAAGTAGACGTTCGTGCTGCAAAAAAATAACGGTTAGAATTTCTAGAAAATCATAGCTAGCTTTAATTGAACCAGTACTTAGCTAAACAAAAGCATATGAATAAGCACAAAAATCGCGCTCAATTTTTTATAACAATCCCGATTAAAAGTATATTTACAAGAGATAATTCGTGCTGCAAAAACCGCATAGATTCTCAAGAATGCTGGGGAAAAAATTGTGCTTTACGTTAGGACTAGACTGTCCCAAAACTATTGCTAGCAGTTCGAAAAACCAGCTAAAAACCCAGAAAAGTGTTGTGTTTAATAATGATTAAATTAGGCGCATTCAACGTTCTAATTTGAAACATCAGTAGCACAAATTCCCCTCACCGATTGTCAATCACCGAGCCGACGCCATTGTGCTGCGCCCGTCGGTGCAACGGTATCGAGACGGAGCGATGAGCCGTGAAGTCACACTCTAAAATCAAAAAAATCTTTTAATGCCGCGAATATAATCTAGATCAAAGTACAACAACGTACCGGAGCACTGAAATGGCTTGATGTCGATGTGGCTGACGGAGTGCTGGATGAGTGCGTAGACAATATCGTGCCCGGTTCGTTTATGGCTCAGCCGCTTGCCGCATAGCTAGAAAAAAAAAGAAATAAAATTGGAATTTGGATAAAATGAGTCTTATTGCCCTAGAAAATCACGCAATCATTTTTTCTTACAGCACAAGCAAAAGAAAAATATGATGCAAACCTAAATAAGTATTAGGAAAACCGAAAATATATTAATGCTGTATTGGACATGTCTTCAAACGTTATTCGATTAGCGTTTTTTTGTTTCTACCATTTGAGGATGTCGTAATATCCGAAACAACACAGAAAAGCGATCAGAAAATTGCTTTAGGCTGCCCAACTTTCTTTTGCCTCATTTTTGAGGTGCGAAAATCCAAGCAAGCAAAATAATGAAGATAGACCTAGAAAGACATAGAAAAATCGCCAGTTTCAAGCAACAAAAAGAATCGCAAACTATGTTTCAGGTCCAGATACCCAAAAGAAAATTGTAAAATTCGCAATAGACTCTTCGAATGCGCTTCAATCTAGCCGTTTTTACGATTGCGGAAAAAGCTATTTTTATCCGTTAAACTAAAGTAAAAAAAATTTGATCCAGGTCTAGTTATCGATTAGAAAACCAAAAATGTAATACTTGTCCATCAGTCTTTTCTTCCGATGTAACTTTTTGCTTTTTTTATTCTAACATTGACGCCATCGACGACAAAGATAAAAACTATTATCTCACCTGACAAACCATCGTCTCAAGCGGTATTCCCTCTTTCTGTTCGTTGGCCGGCTTCTGAAACTCCTTTAAAAGCAAATCTACGCCTTTATACCTTCGGATGATAGACCTTCTTTGGTTTCGCCGGCCTAACCGGCGTGGGCACCACATCTTGCGCCTTCACGTCCCCATTTTCGTTCTTTTTCACTTGCCCGTCGACGATAGAAGTGTTCTTCGAATTCGTTTTGACCTAAGAAATATGAATAAAGTTTTGATCCAAAAATATACCTCGGATTTCGCATCGGTTTCCGGATTTTGATATTCAGAGTCGTCGAACAAGGCCTGGAAATGAAAAAGTATGAAGGTTAAGGTGCCGTATTGTTAGCCGGGTTCTACTTTGACCTATCATGCCGTAGGTTCCAAAATGAAATACACACAATGTATGTAGCTTTTTACGCCTTTTTAAGTCTAGAAAGTTTATGCAATGCTAAAATTTTCGATAAATTTAGATTTTTTCGTTGACACTTTGTCAATCGTCAAAAATTTCACGTTTTCTAAATACGTTTCCTCCGATCAAGTTCAGTACAATCAAGGGAACTTCAAGTTGGCACAGTGGAATTGGAAACACACTTGCGGCTATGATAGGTAATCAACGACGGCGATTCGAACGCGTTAGTCAGAATTTCCTTAATTCGCTTGTCAAGAGAGTTGTGAATTTCCGATTTTCTCGAAGTGATGTATTCCTGTCCACGCGTGGATTAACGAAATTCTCGATAGCGCGTTGAAGTCGCCATAGTCGAAAACCTAGGGGTAGCCGCGCAGTTGCCCGAAATTCGGCCGTGTCAACTCGTCGTTCCCTCGTAAGATTGCTACGCCTAAAATACCTCCGCGTCCTCCTCGTCCGAGCCGTAGGCCTTGCTGGTTTCGGCAACATCTTTCTAAAACAGTGTCCACGAAACGAATCATTGGTGTACCTTGGCCTCGTCTTTCTCCTCTTTTTCATCTTTCTCATCCTGCTTCTCCACCGCTTCATGCTTGTCCTCGCACGTCTCGTCGAAAAGTGCCTAAAAATGAAAACTTATAAGTTTTTAGCAAAGAAAAACCTCGGCGTCCTCTTCGTCGGAGCATTGCGGGACCTGGGGTGATGCAGCCATGGAGGTAGATGGGTTGGAATTGGCAAGCCTCTGGAAATAAAGGTTGAAACCTGAAGTGAAAGAAGAAGTTTAAAAGTTTAAGAGCGTTATATATAAGCGAAAAAAATACGTTTCAAGCCCTCAAAGCTATTCGTACATTTTCATCAACTTAATTGCTGTTGCGAGTTCACCCGGATATTCTAAAGGATCTATGATATTTTTCTTTTACAGCTAAAACTAGAGGTAAATTCTGAGCTATTTTCTCTGTTTCGGCCGTGTAAATAAAAATAAAAATAACTTTTGTAAATTGACAGCTTGAGCCAATCAGAAAGCAAAATTATCCCCTTTCGCAGATTGGCAAGACGAATGCCTCACAGTGGGTGTTTTAGGTTTTGAAACTGGAACAGATGAGGCTGAGGAATTTGGTGGTGTTGCCTTCCCATTCTCCAGCACTTCCTCGTGGTCAACGGCGATACTCCCCGGGTCGTAGCTCCTCTTTCGGCCTCTCTACAAACATTGAAATTTTTAAGCGACAACTTTACCAATAATAGCCTTAAATGTCTCGTTTATGTTGTATCTAGCGTTTGAAAGCCGCAAATAACATATTTATTACCTTCGTGCCGAGCTGAACGCATTGTTTGCCCTAGAAAAACCTAGAAAACGAAGTTCTGCCCCCATTTATCGCGTTAGTTCTATTTATTTCTAGTTTTCACGGCACTATGCCAATCCTGGTTTTTTCAGCGACCTCGAAAACTACTTGCCAGTTCCAGATTAGCTTTTTTAGTGGTACTCACATAAGCTACACCCCAAAACTGACCAGTTTATACTCTTCCGGCACGTGCCATCCACAAATCCTCGGATTTTCTCGCAGCATATCGTAGCCAAAGGGCAGCGATAGACCATTTGCCGCCAGTTCGCGAAGGATGCGATCAATGTCGTCGAGTCCCGGCTTCACCCGCAACGAACAACCGTGGCACGTCTTGCGGCACAGCTCGCAGAAGAAGCCCATCGCTGGTCTTGGCGATGGTTACCTGAAAAACGAAGATATATCCAGCAAAATAGCTCAATTCGAGATCAGAACTGTGCTAAACCTAAGGACATGAAAAGGCAAGAAGACGATGGTAAAAAAACTGCAAATGGGAAAACTCAATTAGGGTTTTTAGCGGTGCTCAATCCAAGGAAAATTTGAGCCTTATCTCTTGTAATTTCTTACTCTAAGCATTTAACTGAAATTAATAGCATCCATTGTAAAGTTAAGCGTTTTCTATGGTGTTTTCACGAGCTAAAAAGCTAAAGAAGTTGAATCTCGATCGAATCTAGCCAAAAATTGCCTTGAAATTAGCTATATTATCTCCTAAATATAACCATTAGAACAAACTATCAAAGGAAGCGTTTTCTATAGTTTTTTTGGGGGTCAGACAGCTAAAGATTTTAGATTTTGACTCTTTTTGGCGAAAAACAAGCCAAATAGGTCTGGTTTGAAGTTTAACGATGGTTTAGAAGAAGGGCAATTCATTTTCAATGGTTATTTTCACAAAAATCCCCCTGGTGACCCCCAAAAGTAAAGGAACATTCAAGGCAAATCAATTTTGCCGGTCGGCGCAACGCAACCACCGCGTCCATAGGCGCCCCCGTTTGCGTTGCCTAACCGGATCGGCCGGGGGCCGCGCGACCAACTATCAATGCTTTAAAAGACTGATAAGATAAGAAGATTTTGGTGGAAAACTATATAAAAATCAAAGTGATGGGTGGGAATGGAGGGTGTGGTAAAGGTAAAGGCGGGGAATGATGGAAGTGGAAACAATTTTTGTACTTATAAAGAAGCTGTTCTGAAAACGTCATCGGATAGATCGTCGAAAATTCGACTAAGAGATTTAATTTCAGTCCGAAAACCTCATTTTTAACGATTTTTAATTGATTAAACTTTTTAGTTTAATAAAGTAATAATTTTAAATTGTGGTATTTCGGGCTGAAATTAAAGCACTAACGATAATTTTCGACGCTCTATCCGATGGCATTCATGAAATCCAGTTAAAACAGCCAAAAATACCGAAAATTACGGTCACCTTATGGTTATACTTCATGTACGGCCCATGGTTTTGTTTCTTTAATAACGAATTTAAATCACATTATTTCGTGCCGAGGTTTGATTCTCTTGGTATATTTTTCGACGCTCGATCCGATGGCATGCTTGAATTGGCCCGACCACATGCCTATCGGGAAAAATTGTTTCCACCCCGTCATTCCCTGTTAAATGAAAGTACAATTGAAGTACTGACAATGGAATTCTGGTCGGATCCTACCCGAAACATTTTTATTTTTTTATGACCCCCTAAGCTCCTTACCGAAGTAGCAGGTTTTGCTCTGGAAATCCACCGAAGCAAACCTAGCTATTTTTTATTGGAAAATTTATTTTGCCTGTTCAGCTTAACGAAGTTTATTCCTCTACGATTTTGCCAAGAAAAAGCTTTCTTTTTTCCGGCGGCCAGCTGAACGGCAATTTGTTGATGTCCTCGGCGATGATGGGGAAGGGATGATGAAGCATTTTTCCGGCCGAATGCTTTTGTGGCTTTTCCAGGTGTCGTTTAATTTCTTAATTCTTATACCAAATTGTTACTTTCGTTGAAATTTTTGATAAAAACGCTGTAGGAAGCATACTCTTTAGAGGTTTTTAATTTTTTTTGGTTTATGGAATATCGTGGTAATTTATCATACCGCTGATTCCAGCTCACTAGGGAAGTATCTGAACTTGCCATCGAACTTTGAGAAGTCAAATACACCATTCGACGCGCCGTGACAAGAGGATCCCAAATATGTAATAAAATCAACGGGAGCGCATAACGGTAAAAAGTTATGAGGCTTCAAAGTCGGCAAAATGACGAAAAACAGCATCTTTGAGACCCTGTATCATCCCGCGGAATGGAATTTAGTCTAAACTAATTAGTGCTCCTTATTCAACAAAGAAAGCTCTTTCAAATGAAATATATTACATACGGCTGCCAAAAATTTCCGCAAAAAATATTTTTGGAATGCAGTGTAAGGGTAGGGTATGGCCAGCTAGCCAAAGACTTTTCGAGAATTTGGCGTAAAGCGCAGGAAAGATAGCTCATTCGAAAGGGAATTTTCTGCTGATCAAGATGTACTGTTCCATTTTGACAAATTAAATTCTTCGAATTCGCACCGAGCCTTAAAAGGGCGGTTTCCGATGATTTTGCCAACTTTGATATAGAGAGCGTCCAATCCTAGTTTTGTTGCCGGAGGTTATTTTATCATAGCTGGTGCTTTTTAGGGGTCACACATTAAGGAAAAACTTATTCCCGGGTTTGGACATGCAAAAAGTAGGAACCGGTCAAAAAGCAAAAAATAAAAATCGTGAGGGGGATCCGAACCTTGGTCATACAACCCAGAGACCGATGCGCAAACCACCAGGCCACGAGACCGATGGACAGGGTGCGCTGGGAGGGACTCTTCTCGCGGCGGCGGATCTCAATGTAAAACTTAAAATGCTCATAACTTTTTACCGTTATGCGCTCCCGTTGATTTTATTACATATTTGGAATCCGCTTGTCACGGCGCGTCGAATGGTGTATTTGACTTCTCAAAGTTCGATGGCAAGTTCAGATCACTCGTCCACATATTACTATGCAAAAATGAAGGACGTGGTCACCATGATTTTTCGAAACGTTTTCCTTTTCCGGGGGTGTCATCCGCTGGATCCAGCATTTTTGACCTTAAAGAACATTTAATTTGGTGAATAAAATTAATTCCTTAGAAAAAGTTTAAATTCATCTAAAAATTGATGAACCAAAAAATGAACCATTTTTTTGGAACATGCTTTTTCCATCGTGCAAATAGGCGTGAATGTAAAAAAAAGAAAAACGTTTTAAAAAAGTACAAATCCCTGGTTTTTGACCAGTCGGTTCAATTCCCGAACCCACGAATTTTGATTTCTGAGCCCCTTTAAGAAGGTCGTCTACCTCCAAACCGTACAAACCCTTTCCGCAGATCATTTCCCCTGCGTTTTGCTTCTCATTTCTGAGCTCAAAGGGCATAAAACTGGCGCGCGCGGCAATATATATAAATTTGTTTGCACAGCGTGCCGTCGGGATAGACCGGAAATTTTGACGACTAGTTCAGCATCAATTTTTAAAAGGACATCGTGCGGAATTGAAAGCCCCGCATTGAAAAAGCCGGCTAAAAACTGAATGGTGCATTAAAGATTAAGGTGAGGCCGAAAAATTTTTTTTTGCAAAAAAAGTAAAGAAGAATGTTTTAGCCAGTAAGCGCCGCAGAGCAGACGCCTTTTCATTAATTAATGTATCGCTTCATTTCTATTACCTAGTTTTAATTTAGAAAGAGAACTATGCATTGTTGCTTTTGCATTATCGGGGGGGGGGTTGCATAGGTATGAAAATGCTTAGTACTGTAAAAGTAAGCTTTTTAAGAGTTTTTAGTACAATGGAGCTATATTTCAAGCGCAAAAACTAGCTAAAGTCTTCGGCATTTTTTGGAAATTTGTAGGCTTTTTGGGTTGATGATAGTAAAAACTGTGTGGAAACACTGCATTTATTTACAGTAGCGCGTGACGTACATTGCGTAAGAAACTTTCATTTTCACGAAAACACGCAAAAAATGTTTTGTCTATTCAACGGGAAAAACTACGTTGTGTTTTTACAATATGAAGGTGTCCGTTACACTCTTATTGCTGTTTCTAAACATTTGGCATTTGTTTTGTTAATCTCTGGAAATTTTTAAAAGACTTTTTATACGATTCTTAATCTGCGAATTAATTCTGAAGCCAAAAACTCGTGATGCCTATTTTCGGAAACTCAAAATTTCTACCATTGCTAAGGGGCGGTTTCCGGATTTAATGCCGAACTTGTAAATGTCTCAAAAGGCTGTGTTTTAGAACAGTATTCCTGCTTGTAGAACACTGCTAAACTATAATCACTCGATCCGATACTCAACTTTGTATAATGCGACAAACCATCATTATCAATCACAATATTCAAAACTTACGGTAGTTCTTAACATTTTGATTTGCAACATTTAATTTTAAATGGAATTGGCAAAATTTTAAGGTCGGTAAGTTTTAGGTTGATTATAGTATTTCTAGATTTTAGTTTTGGTTTGATTTTGATTTTAGCTTTTAGTTAGTTTAGTTTACCTTGCTGATTATATTAGAAAAGATTAATAAAAAAAAGATGTTGCAAAGAACTGCCTGTTAAAATTTTGCAAAAATTGTGAATTCTGGCTTTTTTGACTCAAATTAACTCAAACTGCCTGTTAAAATTTTTCAAAAACTTTAGAATTCTAGTTTTTGAGTTGCCGACAAAACATATTTTTTTAGCGGACCACCATGGTTGAAAAGCCGCTTCGCGACTTTTCAACCCTGGCCCCGTCCAACCCTATTATATCCGTCGCTTTGCATAAACCTTCCGCACTGTTATGTCAAAAAATGAAAATGGCGTCCTTTCCCCGATTATATAGGCTACTCCAACTTCCGGCGTATGCTAATTTTTCCTAACAAAGAGGGTGTCCGATTTTTAAGGAAAAACTTAATTTTAATGTCGAAAAAAGTTGATTTTGCAAAATCTGATATGCGTGCAGTCATCTACAGGCCATTACGCGTCTAATGACGTATCATACACCCCTTTCATCACTTCCCCTCTTGAGATATCCTCCGGACACGCTGACGGAAGTTGCATGCAAAGTGTCATACACACACACACACACACACACACACAGACACTATTTTTTTATATTTAGCGGACCATTTTGGGACCCGTAGGTTTTTTTAACTCTTAGGTTATTTGATGTTTCAGAAATGCTGGTATACCGTATGAATTCAAGCTCTGCAATTTTACCTTTTTTGAGCGGCGAAGACCATATTTGAAGCTTATCGTTTAGAAAATGCTCAGCATTTCAACGATTAATTTTTTCGACCCTAGATTTCTGGCGTGAAACATTTTAATTGATGATTTTTTATTATTTACGCTTTTTAGAATT